TTTTTCTATTCCTCTAAGTTTAATTTTTTATTGAATACAGTATTTTTTTGATAATAGATTATTTATTAAAAACTGATTATTATTTATCAACTATAGGTTTTTTACTCGGGCTTTTTTTCTAGATTTTTTATTCAACTAGGCTTTTTTATTAAATCAAGATCATAGTGGTAAGATTAGAAAAATATTTAATTACAAAAGTGTATATTATAACCTAAAGAAAGTCTAGTTGAAAAAAATCTATTAAAAAAAAACCTTAGTAAAACACCTGTAGTTAATAAAAAATAATCTATTTCTAATAAAAAATCTATATTAAATAAAAAAGTCTTGATTGAATTAATAACAAATCTTAATTAAATAAAATAAATCTAATTAGAAATAAAAATGAATCAAGAATGATTAAAAATATAACAAAACTTGGTTAATTATTTTTTTAATGAATTATTAACATACATAATTGGAATAAATGTTTCTTAATATTATTAAACACATTTCAAAATTTGTAACTCCTTATTTACTATGTCAAATTAAAACAGACTTATGGTATTTAAATGTTGTTAAAAATACTTTTAAGAAGTATTCAGAATATTTAAAAAATACTTTAGTATTTTTTACGTATTTTATTACAAATATTCAAATACTTGTATTCGAATACTTTACAAGACTGAATAGTTATACACTATTTTGACCATATTTTGTGTATACAGTAACAAATGAAAAAAAAATATATAATTATAAAATCATTCCATATTGATCCGCTGAATTTTAAAATTTGATATCTAATAAACTAGATGGATTTTGTGTTTTGTTTTTTAAATTTAGAGTTAGACTTTATTAAACTGATAGATGATAGTGCTGTACTGCTGTTTTGGATTGCGCTAAGAGAAACACGGTGCCCGCCAACAAAATCCGATCATCTATTCGGACTCTTGTTGTTATTTACAAGCAAAACGTACGGGTAACAGTAACATTACAACTAAGTCAATCTAAGTCTATGGCAAATTATTGGTACATAACGTATGAATCGTGTTGTACCCTTTTATTTAATAATAAAAAAATTAAGTCACTCTCAAATCCAATAAAGTATCTATATCATATTATATAATATCAATAATGCTATGTATAACATTTAATATTGTTATAAATATATATAAAATCATTAACCTTATATTTTATTTAGGAGGTTAAGTCCGCAGCAAAATCCACAGCCAAACTTCACGGCAATCTTGATATAGAACACGGTCAGAGACGAACTATCCGTGTAAGCACACAGAACGCCAAATGTTCATTTATCTAATGAATATGCACCTGAATTCCATTAACCATATTATAGTATTTATGCAGATTTTAAGCAAGTTTTCATTAGCAAAACACGCAATCGTTATATTTTAAACATTTTAAGTGCAATTAATTGTAGATATAATTTCAGAATAAACATATAAAAAAATATTTTTGTTCTAGATGGATTGAAAAGTAATGTTATTACATTTAATATTAACTAGCTGCTAGCCCAACATCATCCCGTATCAGGCTCGATAGTGGTCCGATAATAACAATGAGGGGGGATTGCTTATGATGAAGAAAATTTGGCGTAGCTGTTTCGGCATTGGGATATCTCGACACCACATATATGTATATATTAACATACAATTTCAACAATCCAAAATAAATAATATAATATTAATATCATATATTATTATTAAAGTATAGGTATAACAATAAAGTTTTATAAATATGTTTAATTACATGGTTAATGACATAAAATGTAGCTATTTATCTTAATGAAATATTATGTGCGATTCCTTTTAAATAAACAATGCAATTTCTTACATTAAATTCGCTTACTTTTTTATATAATCGAGATTTAGGCCAGTATAATATATGTTTTTTTTTATGGGGACTCCCTCCAGCCGTTAGTTGTGCTATAAAATCATCGTGACCTGTTTGAACTCTTCTCAAGCAATTTATAAATGTCGTAACTGTTGGGCCACCCTCTCCCATTTCAATGTTTAATTTCCTATTTACTGCCTCAGTGTAATTGTCCTATTTTCAGAATTTAAGACTCTATCATATACAATCCAAACTTCTGAAGGGAAACGTGCATTTCTTCCTCCCCAAAAACTACGTTTAGTTTGGTCCATATAATTATTATCTTCGAATCATTTTAACTAGTTAACTAATTTCTCATCAAGGTTTCAAGCCAACGAATCAAATGAAAAATCAAAGTCTTCTAATTTTACAAAAGCTAATGAAGTTATTATTTTAACCGATACAGAAAAATCTGTAAAAAATGTATTAATACAATTCATTAAATACAACAACTTGTTTTTTTTTTTTAGTTTTTTGACAAATAAAATAACAACCCATATACTTTAATAACAGGTAATGCTTTTTGATTGATTTTATTTCCACTTATTCGAAATCTCATGAAACTGATTTAGGTTTTATAATCGGTTTTAAATGTTTTAACATTCAAAACATATGATCATATGTTACTGATTGTTTGCAATGGAGTAAAATATAAGCCATAGGCAGTACACCGTGTAAATATTTAGCTAATATTATATAAACTTGAGTACTTGACTAAATAATGAAAGTGCATCTTTAACTGTAGTACCATTCATGTACCAAATGTTCAAATTCTACAAAGTATCAAGGCTCTTGATCGAGCAAAAATTAACATTCTATTAAGACCCGGACCACTATTACTTTGTAGTAATATTTTCTCATTAGTCATTACTGTTTGAGAATACTTAGTATACATGAGTGGGATGTCTAGGGTAGTAAGGTAAACTAGACTATTTCTATGTGGTGCAATTTGGATTTCTTGTCATTTTTAGGGAACTGTTTTTTTCAATGTTGAATTATTTGGCAATGTGACCTTAAAACAAATAACAAAAAATATATTTTTAAATAACTTAATAAAAAAATGCTTGTTTGAATCAGAGAAACTCGAACTGCATTCTAGAGTTTGTCTCCCCATTTCCAGTCTGCTTGCTTGCTTACTAATTCGATAAGCCATTCGATTATTCTTGCAAACTCACTTCAGGAACCTCAAGTACCATTATAGTTTTTTTTTTTTTTATTGCTCGTTACCCTGAAGCTTTGAATTATTGTTATTTTTTCCTAGTCCATTTGTTTTCTCTCTGTGGTGATTATTTGACAAAGGAATTTCAAAATTGTTTGAAGAATTGGTATTTATCAAGATTGATTGTGACGAATGTAACGTTATAGATTTTCGAAATCTTTTCAATACGATTTGAATGTGTTCGTAATGGAGCTCCACACTTTCCGATGTAGGTAATCATGATAGTATCGTCGACGTAGATTGTTACGAAATCTTTTGTAAATTAACTGAGGACCATATCCATTTTTTGAAATTCAGCTCCACCGACATTAAAGCTGAAAGTTAGTCTCTTGAACGAATAGTTCTCCCATTTATCAAGAATGAACATGGAACTTTACTGTCCTTAGCTAGTTTTCTTGCCAGTATTCTGATCTAAGGTCTAGTTAGCTTATGCAATTGACTTTCTTCAACTTTACAAAAATTGTGTCGATTATGAGAGGTTGTTCACAGTCCGGGACGATGGATTCCTTGATCCGTTCAAAGTTTTATCTCCCCATTTTTTTTTTAAATACTGGTATGAATGGGATAGAATATTATACTTCTCTTTTACAACCTTGATTTTTTCGAATGATATATGATATGGTCTCATACAAATTGGCTTATTGTTTTTAAGCCATAAGTGGCTTTTGTAATCTCGAATTTTCCCAGAGTATTCGGTAAATACCTCGAGAAACTGTTCCACAACTTTTTTCCACGTACTCTTGTTCAGTGGCCGGTTTTATATTAGTTATAATTGGTGTTATCGATTTTGACATAATTTTCGTGTGAATTATCTTTAGTTCAGCGGATTCTTCACTTCTTTGTCTAAGAAAGGAATGTCGATTATTATTGAGTAGGTCCTTAGTGTTAACATTTAATTGTTGAAGTCTAATACAACCTTGTATTTATTTAGCATGTTATTGCTGATGATACCTATTTTGTTTAGTTGTGGGATAAAAATGAATGGTACTTGGATTATGTGTTCGTTAATTTATTCTTAATGGAAGATAAATTTGTTTACTCTTTTTTGTTGTTTCATATCTGAACCCTTGTAGATATTTAGTCATATTAAAGACTATACGTTGATATGGATTTATCTTCATCTGTAATGATTTTTTCGTAATTGGTTTATATGGCGCTTATTTCAGCCCCCCAATCTACCAACATTTCATATTCCCCTTCATTAATACATAACTTGCCGTAAGGACATCCGTTTCCTTTCGTTTTTATTGGTGGTTCTATAGAATTGTTGTCCTGGATTAATTCTTTGGCTGTTATTTATGAAGAGATTTCATTACTTTTATATGAATTTTAAAATTGTTGATAAATCCTTCACAGTGTGGTTTGTCTGTATATTTCCTGAAAAGGACCATTAATATTATGTGATAGTTTCCACTGCTAAAAAGGTTGGTTGGATTATTGCAGATTAGATTAAATAGATTCACAGCGCAATGTGTCTCAAATTTGAATTAAACGGTAAAAACTTAAAAATTGAAAGATAACGGACATGCATGTTTATTTAGTCATGACTCATGACTATTATAAGCCACCAGTCTGCGATCACTTATTTCGACATTTAGAAATATAAAAAAATTATTGGTTCCCAAAATTCTCATGATAGTCATTTTTTTCCAATAAACTTCATATCAATAAACCTCATAAATTGTATATATATTTAATTCCTCTGCTTTAATATTGCATTTGTACAGCATTTAAAACCATAACCTCTAATTGTTTTTTGTATTTAAGTATTATATCGCTTATTACATAAATGACACACCCTACACTATTATTAAATATTTTAATAGTGTTATAAAATTTCAAACTTGTTAAATCATTAATATGCTAATACATTTTAAATATAATAAATATATAAAAAAAATGACAATTCTAAAAAAGGACATTTTGCGTGACCATCATGTATGCATATATAGTATCGTTAAAATACATATAATTATGTATTTTATAATGCTAATTTACCAATTTTACTTTATTACGCTAATGTACTTAATGTGTCATAAAAGATATAATGCTTATCTTTTATTATTTTAAAACGATATTTATGTTAAATAATTAAGTATTCAAGTCTAACTTTCTAATTTTTACCTATCCGTCTAATATGGTAAATTTCATTATTAATATAATTAACATATTTTACTGTTCATTGTTCCATGTTTTTTTTTTTTTTTGTTTATCTTGTTTTAATCGTGTTAATGAATCAACAACCATCAAAACTAACCATTTAATTTTTATATTTTATTTTTGTTAATAGGTATTTGTTTTTAGTATTGACATACGCGTTTACAGTTTGCTGACCATGGACAGTGAAAATGGATCTTCCACGTATTCATCTCGTAAGCTATGGAATTATTTTTTTTATTCAAGAATATCTACAAATCTACAATATATAATATAATATAATAATTATATATATAATATACAGGGTGTCCCACAGAGATCTGACAAATGAAATAACTTTTGTTCTAATCAATATTTTTTTTAAATTTCTTTCAAATATCCATAGACATTTGCGCTACATTTTTAGAATACATTTTTTATTTTTTAATACTGAAAATAAAAAACTTAAAAATTGATAAATTTTTTTTTCGAAATATTCAATATAGCCAATTTATAAATTTRATTTTCAGAAAAATGTATATGGTAAAAACACTTATTTAAGTCAAAAGGCTGATTTTTTACAATTTTTTTAAATATCAATATTTTCGTTAGGTAAATTATAGTAATTTATAGTTTATACATCACATATTATTAAAATAAATACAATAAAAAAAAWWAWTWARWTTTWA